TACTCAAATCAGAAAATGCCACTTCTGAGTTAGCGTTGCCAAGACTTTATCTCAGCCCAGTACTCAAATCAGAAAATGCCACGTCTGAGTTAGCGTTGCCAAGACTATATCTCAGATTCCTGGTACTCAAATCAGAAAATGCCACCTCTGAGTTAGCGTTGCCAAGACTTTATCTCAGCCCAGTACTCAAGTCAGAAAATGCCACGTCTGAGTTAGCGTTGCCAAGACTTTATCTCAGATTCCCAGTACTCAAATCAGAAAATGCCACGTCTGAGTTAGCGTTGCCAAGACTTTATCTCAGATTCCCAGTACTCAAATCAGAAAATGCCACGTCTGAGCTAGCGTTGCCAAGACTTTATCTCAGCCCAGTACTCAAATCAGAAAATGCCACGTCTGAGTTAGCGTTGCCAAGACTTTATCTCAGCCCAGTACTCAAATCAGAAAATGCCACATCTGAGTTAGCGTTGCCAAGACTTTATCTCAGCCCAGTACTCAAATCAGAAAATGCCACGTCTGAGTTAGCGTTGCCAAGACTTTATCTCAGCCCAGTACTCAAATCAGAAAATGCCACGTCTGAGTTAGCGTTGCCAAGACTTTATCGTCAGCGTTGCCAGTACTCAAGTATCAGAAAATGCCACGTCTGAGTTAGCGTTGCCAAGACCCTCAGCCCAGTACTCAAATCAGAAAATGCCACGTCTGAGTTAGCGTTGCCAAGACTTTATCTCAGACCCAGTACTCAAATCAGAAAATGCCACGTCTGAGTAGCGTTGCCAAGACTTTATCTCAGCCCAGTACTCAAATCAGAAAATGCCACGTCTGAGTTAGCGTTGCCAAGACTTTATCTCAGCCCAGTACTCAAATCAGAAAATGCCACGTCTGAGTTAGCGTTGCCAAGACTTTATCTCAGCCCAGTACTCAAATCAGAAAATGCCACGTCTGAGTTAGCGTTGCCAAGACTTTATCTCAGATTCCCAGTACTCAAATCAGAAAATGCCACGTCTGAGTTAGCGTTGCCAAGACTTTATCTCAGCCCAGTACTCAAATCAGAAAATGCCACGTCTGAGTTAGCGTTGCCAAGACTGAGTTTATCTCAGCCCAGTACTCAAATCAGAAAATGCCACGTCTGAGTTAGCGTTGCCAAGACTTTATCTCAGCCCAGTACTCAAATCAGAAAATGCCACGTCTGAGTTAGCGTTGCCAAGACTTTATCTCAGCCCAGTACTCAAATCAGAAAATGCCACGTCTGAGTTAGCGTTGCCAAGACTTTATCTCAGCCCAGTACTCAAATCAGAAAATGCCACGTCTGAGTTAGCGTTGCCAAGACTTTATCTCAGCCCAGTACTCAAATCAGAAAATGCCACGTCTGAGTTAGCGTTGCCAAGACTTTATCTCAGCCCAGTACTCAAATCAGAAAATGCCACGTCTCAGTTAGCGTTGCCAAGACTTTATCTCAGCCCAGTACTCAAATCAGAAAATGCCACGTCTGAGTTAGCGTTGCCAAGACTTTATCTCAGATTCCCAGTACTCTCAGATCCCAATTATGCGGGGTCCAGCGTTGATTGCCCTTTCACAACAAAATTTGTTTCGTACAGGATACTGGGCAATCGTTGAACGCTCCTGAAACAACTTTGTGCAATTGGTTGGTGCCGTTTAGATGGCTTCGCTTGCATCGGCCGTGCACTCGTCCCATACCTAAGACAGCGTCCCAATGTGGCGATGTGCTCGTGGTTCCAGGTGTTGCCTCAGCTCTGTCCGGCTGACGGCCGGTCTCAGTGGCTCTCGGGCGGGCCATCTGCGATGGAGGTCCGCTTGGCAATGCCCGTGATTTGGTAGCCTGAGATGGGCATCGCTTGGTCGAGGTGAATTCAACCGATGCCCCTCCCTTTCATTGAGCTTGGCATCCCGCCATAGTCCCACCACGCCATGACCCTCGCATCTTTGGGCGTATTCTCATCAATCCACTGATAGCCTTAGGTCACAATTGCATGCGCACACACACACACCAAAAAAAACCAAAAAACGCCAGGGGTCCCGCCTTTCAGGTAGTCATCTACAATGAAGCTGTTCCCTCGCTTGTCCCGCCTCATCGTCCAGCTGTCAACGTGGGATTAGAAAAGTCTGTACAGTATCCCTGATCTGTGGAGCGCATGGCAGCATGGCGGCAACGCATCTCTGGGATCACCGCGACATGAAGACCACCTGAGGGTTGGAGAGGGACCTCAGTGGCGTCAGTGGCCCGTCAGTTTCCGGCACCAGACCTCGAGCCCTGCCTGGCCACCTGATCGCAGTGCGACAGGAAAGTGGGCACCTTCACCGACAGGGAGCTGCCATAGATGACCTCGCATCCGAAGGCTTGAGACATCTTGAGACGAGCTGCTCGTCCAACTTCCTTCAAGAGCAAGTGCACCATTAAAACGGCGAGTAGAAGGCACGCCCAACCAACACTGCCAAGCACCCGAGTTGAAATCTCGGGAATCACCCCGTTCTCTTTGTTGCTAGTAGAAGTAAGAAGCTGCACAATGGACAATGTGTGCTCAGTATAGCTTACGAGCATGAATTACGATAGCAGCAGTCGTCAAAGCAAATGACATTCTGACATGCCTGAATGTTGGCCCGGGTCCGGTGCTCCCAAGGTCAATCAACTTAAATAGCAAGGCGCTAACAAAGTTCAGGAATTCATGTTGGCGCACTTCATGTATATGTGTATGCCCCGCAAGCTCGAAATGAGATGCCTCCTTGCAGAATCGCAGGGCTGAGGACCTGGCGTACAGCAGAAGCACGACGGACGCTGCCGCACGGCTCAAGATCAGCGTGTAGTTGTTGTCCTGCAAGGCCGAGGCAGAGTCACATAGTCCAAGCAAATCCGAGACAAATCCCCGCCATCATCGTGCGGATCTCGCGGTAAGTCGCCTAAGGGGGCGAGGCTGGACTGCGTGTCGCAGCCGGCTGAGGCAGAGGCGATATTCTCCTCGGGGATGGCCTTGTACACATAGCCTCGCAGGCCCAGCTAAGCAAATCTGGGCTTCCGTTGGTGCTTGTGTTGCTCGTGTTTGTGTTTGGGTGCACACTCGAGAAATGTTTCGTGCAGCTTTCAAGACACCCTCTGCCCGCGTGCTTGTGGTCTGCTACCGGCCGCGGGCCTTGCAAAAGCCGTAGTATTTGGTTGGCGCCCCCTGGCCGCCGGTCCTCCTCATACTCCTCAAAAAAGGCGAGGCACGTCCATCCCCGCGCGCGCCAGACTCAGGCGCCTCCAGCGTCCAGTCAATGTCCACCTGGGCAAATTCCAAGGGTAGGTGGGAAAGGCGGAAAGGGCAAAGCACGAAAAGAAAAGCCCTGATCCAATGAGGATGCGGCAGCCGTGGTGCTCTTCTTTGCTGCCTTCTTTGCCTGAGCGGCGCAGAGCCAAAGCCCGACCAAATATGCGGGCAGCTGCCATAGGGTTGAGCTGCAATCAGGTTTTGGGTTTGCCTGACACACTGCATAGGCATATCCCGCCTTGGCGCCCTTCTTCTCATTCTTGTCACTTTTCTCGCTTTTCTCGGTCTTCTCGGTCTTCTCGGTCTTCTCGGTCTTCGGGGCCTCGCTCCGAGCTACGAAGCCCGACCCGAAGCCACGAAGCCACGAAGCCCGCCTCGCTCTCCGCGGTGTATCCTGCGAAGAAAAAGACCGAAGCCCCTCACCCCACTCGGTCGGAACAGGCGCCTTTCTTGCCCAAGAGGAGCAAGAAAGGCTCAACGAGCTGGTCCACCAGGAAGCCAACCCTATGTCGCTCATGTCCAAACTCTTAACGCTCGTTTTCAAACCTCGAGAAACAAATATGCTTTTCCAGTTCGATCTGAGTCTCCGCGCCAAATCCCGCAGGCCACTGACACCACCGGCCCGCAAATCAGCACCAGGCCTCGCATGCGAAAGATGCCGAAGGCGTCTCTAGGCCGAGCCCCCCGTCCCGAGCGGGAATCAATAAACTAACATAAACAACATGTACAAGTTGTACAAGACAAAAACAAAAAAACTTCCGCCGCCTTCCACCCATTTCACTTTGTCTCCGGGATTCAGGACCCCGGGCGCGACATCTTGCCAGAGAAATGCTGAGCGATGAAGCCGTAGAGGCACAGCAGCCAAAACCCGTTGTTTCGCTTCCACAGGCCTCACTCTGCGCTAAAGTCACCAATCTCACCACTCTCTTCGTGCTTTCCAATACAACCTTAAGCCTGTCTGAGACTTCCTGGCTGACCAGACCGCCCAAGAGCACATAGTCCAGTGGAAGGTTCAGGTAGCTCGCATACATGGAGGGGCTGGCCTCACGTCTCAAACGTTCTGATTTCTCCCAATGCCCGACGTCACGAACTGAGCTCTGTGCTGGCTGGTGCTCTGCCACCGAGTCGACTAATGGGTTTCCGGTCTTCGTATGCTTCACGAACCTTGAGGCTGACAGCTGGAGCTTGGGTCACGATTGCCCAAGAGCCCGACAGCCCACGTATTCGTGATGAGATGGGACCGAAGTACCTGTCGTCTGCAAACGACTGTCAACAGTGAAGATCAGTCAATGACACGGAGAAGCGCACGGCCGAGAGCTGGCGCACCCAGTTGGATACAGAGCTGCGCATACCAGGACGGTCGCGCCAACCAGAAGAGCCATGACCTGGGCTCAGAAAGGCAGAAGAGGCCGTCTACAAGGCCCGCCTTGATGCGGAAGATCGCAAATTCAAAGGCCCCCATGCTGCTCCTTGCGGGGAGGGTGACAGGGAGAGCACAAGAGACACAGGAGACACAGGAGACACAGGAGACATCCCGTGCCTTCGCCTTTGCCAATCACAGAAGGCCAGCACCTGACATTCGGCGACGTCTCTTTACGCGCGCACGCACGCGCGCACGCGCCTGGAAGCCCAGGAACACCAAGAGCGGCCCCAGCCTCAGAGACATCGACTCAACTCGAGACTCAAGACTCGACTCGGCATAGGCAGGAGCTGCTCCACAGAGCGCAGGGGCTGCATTCCCACCACTGGCACTTGCAGCGCTCCTGCCGTACCCACCTCGTTGGGGAACGTTGGGCAACGATTGCAAGCTCTCAGGGTTCAACGATTCTCAGGCACCCACAATGTAGAAGATGGAATAAGCTTTGTACACCTCACACGCAGAGCTCTGTCTCCCTGTGACACAAATGACAAACTGTCTGCATCGCATTTATGGCAGCCGACAGTATGACATCCGCTCTGCTTTGGGCTTGTTGCACTTTGTCCAAGGCACTCCTGAATTGAAGCGGCCAAGCCCCACCAGCAGGGCAGCGTGCAAACCAATCCTTAGCTGTGCAGCTTCGTGGCATCACACTGGTCAGCTGGGAGCCGGCATGTTGATCACGAAGATGTAACCTCCCCATGCCTGGATTGTCAGCTGTGAGGGTGTTGTCACTGATTTCTGGGCCGCTGGCAGCAACCATGTAGAAGTATGACAGGCCTGAGCGGGGCAAAGCAGCAAAGCGGCAAGAAAGCGAAGTTCATGGCCGAGGACGGCGCCAGCCAAGAAGCTGACGGGCCAGTGCTTCGGGGTGCGGACACTGAGGACCCACCTTACCGCGCGTGCAAAGGCGTACGCGAAGAGGAGGGAATCTCAGATGCTCGCAGCCAGAAGGTGGAGCAAATGGCGGTGACTGCAACCGCCTCGTTGTCGAACTCACCTCCCACGGACCTAGCAGGCGGGTTCCGACGGTTCCGACGGTTCCGACGGCTCCGACGGCTCCGACGGCTCCGACGGCTCCGACGGCTCCGACGGCTCCGGAGCTCGCGTGAGGGACCGAGACCGCCTCATGAGGTGCGCAGGGATCACCGCCATGATCAGCGTGGTTGCGACACCCGCGTTGACCTCGCACTCGCGTCTCGGTGAGTCTCGGTGAGTCACTCGCAGCCTGGTAAGAGCCAGGCGCTTCGCGAAATCTCGTATGCCAGCAGGCCAGTGAAAAGCGACCTAGGCTCGAACTTCACCGGAATTCGGCAATCTAAGCGCTCAGAGGCTCAGGCGCATAGCTTCCGAACCAAGGTGGAATCATGCAGCAAATGTCATTGACGCCTCTCATGCGCAAGTCTTCAAGTCTTCAAGTCTTCAAGTCTTCAAGCGCAAGCGAACAAGTCGTCAAGGTCCACTTACACTAGGTTGCACCAAGCTAGTCTCGGGGCCAGGCTCATGGGGGTGAACTCGTAGCTCTGCTTGATCGCAGGACTCAAGAAGGCACTTGAGTGGCAGTCCCATCCGAAATGCACTAAATTGTCCCGGTTCCTCTGCAAAGCCTTTTTGGAAGGTGTCTCTGGAAATTTTGAGGTGCCTCGTTTGGCGGCTTGGGATGATTGGCGCTCAGGTGGGAGGGCATTGTATGATATTGTAGGGCACGGGTGCGACGGTGCGACGATGCGACGGTTGGATCGAGCGGTCAAGCTGCTGACTTGGGCAGGTTCATGGCAAGTGTAGGAGACTTCTCAAAGTTTCAAGTTACATCTCAAACTCTGAAGCATTGCTGTGAAGCTTTGCTGAGTGTTCACATCCTGTTGACATCATTGCCTAAATCAAAGCTTCAGGTGCTCGCGTCGAGGGTTTGTGGGGACAGTCTTTGCTCACAAAGGGATGGTTTGGCTTGCCTTGGCTGGTTTTGCTTCCGCTTTGTCACTTATTGGCATGCGTGCTCGCTTTAGATGCCAGGACAGTGGAAAGCCAGCTCCCATCTCCCACGCAAAGAGTTGAAAGGGAGACTGTGACCCAAAGCCTGTTCTGCAAATGATATGCAATACGCAATAATACGCAACGTGGGCATGTTGGGCAAGTGCAACCTGGCCGCCTCAGGCTCCGGCAGCCACCTCCAACCAGTGCTCTTCAGGTAAGAGATCAGCGGCCTAGGCATCTGATCATGCGTAGATATGAGACTCACTGACTCGCCTCAAGGCCAACAGAAAGGATGGACTTTCGACTTTGAATTCTCCGATCTTCTTCATGGCCTGAAAAAAACAGTTGCCGATGTTCAGAAAACGCTGCCGCATCCGCATACCGACAATGCTGACAGTGCCAACCTCCCAAATAGCCACGGCAGTGACCTGCATGCCAGGATAAATCCTCGGACTCACAGCTTGCACAGCACGTGCGAGCACGCCTCTTGGCTGCGACAGCATCAGGCCAAGGCTCGTCGTTCCGATCGGACGCCCCAAGGGGTACCAAGTCTCATAATCAAACCAATGCAGGAACCTGTACCTGGTTCGACAATGTTCGATGTGATTTGCCATCGAATCCTTGAAATCCGAGCGCACAAGCCATGTTCGGCCAGATACTCAGTCGCGCGGTAGTTGAACCACGGATCAAACCTGACACTTCCTTTCTCTGAGATTCTCTGAGATGAGATCTGCCGGATCTGCTTTGTGTTCCCTGACTCTCGGGGTTCTCAAAGTGACAGAGGCAGCCACTCATGGATGATATAGCCGAAGTCCTGCAAACAATGTATCATGCGTATGCGTCATTCATCGGTGTGGCGGCGATGCCAGTGAGGTTCCTTGATGGGATACAGCCGGATGTCATACGCCGCATACAAACCTGGGGGACAGGAGCGGTGCGAGCAACGCCAGCATTCCAAGTAAGCTTGAAATCGCTTTGGACCTGAGCAATGTTGCCAAGAGTCCGTAAAGTAGAAATAAGACCTGCAGAAGTATGATGACCTGACCAGGAACATGCATCGTGGGCAGCATAGTACATTGCAAGCCATGGTCAGTTGAGCTTTGGGCCACTTTGAAGGCTAGTCTGGGCAAAAGCAGGACATCCCTCAGGCCAAGCACATGGCGCAACTGGAACTGCTTCCAGTCAATCTCATGGATCTCGCATGGATCTCGCATGGATCTCGCCGATCGGGCGATCGCAGCATGCTCAGGTGCGCTCATCCCATCGACAGGCCACACCTTTGCTTCAGGTATCTCCAAGAGTCGCTTGCAGACGGCTGAGGTAGACACACCGCTCCGGTTTGGAATAATCGAATGCCTATCTACGCACCCAAAACTCGAGCCGGAATAAGGCCCAAGGCAAGAATCAGGGCATGGGCAAATGACCAGCCACGCAGTCTGAAACCATTCCTCGCCCACGTTTTTGCTTCGCGTTAGCCCCGCATGCGTGGCATGAGCCTAGTCCAGAGAGGGAGCTCCAAAGGTTCTCGCGTCGTAGGACGAGGATAATTCGACCTCCTCCAGACTTGCGTGAAAGTGGGCTGTGCGAGGTTCCTTTTCACCCTCGGTGAGCAGAACCAGACCAGCCATCATGCCCAGAATGCAGAGGACATATCCTCCCAGCTTCCACCAGGGGGCCTCGTCCATCTCTGCCAGCACCACAATTGCGCTGAGGCTGTTCGTGACAATGCTGGCTCCCATGAAGACTGTGACCATGAAAAGCGCCTGGGCGTTGCGTTGCTCCGACGCTTCCACAAGAGCCCTTGGAGTCCGGTAACAAGGCAGTTTGGATTACTGGCAGTTTGGCAAGCCCGGAGTACCGGATTTCTGCAGATGCCCAGAAGGGCACCAAAAGAGCTGGCGAAGGCACGCTGGTCCCACACCCGCAACGAAAGGCACGCCCATGCTAAACCCTATTTTGTTTAGAAGTGTGCACACGGGATTTAGACCACCTCACTCAATTGACCCAGTGACCCACTGGTCCTGCCACTTGGATTGCCGTAAGAGACTCCAGCCTCCTTAACCTATCAAAGCCTTCTTTGGCTCGGGTCCCAACTCCTTTTCTCCCCGCCTCTCCCCACCTCTCCCCTCCTCTTTTCCCTCCACTCTCAACTCAACTTCTCTCTTCTTGGGTCTCTTTTTACTGCAAGAATTTCAGGCAATGGTATGGAGTAACGGACCGTTGCTCGGACAACCCAAGGTACCACCGGGACCGTCCCGTGGAATATCTCAGACCTGTCCAGTTGCAAGGGCCTAACCTCTGTTCCCCTTCTTCCCCTTCTTCCCCTTCTTCCCATTCTCCTCGTAGTGCTGCAAGCCCAGGGAGATGAAGTAGAGGTTGGAGGTGGAGAAGGTCACGGCCGCACCCAGCGCCAGCCAACTCACCGGGTGGCGCCATGCCGCGCAGGTGCCCCCGAGGCATTGCTCCAGGAGAACCGCGACCTCACTCCGAGTGTCTCAGGTGTCTCATGCGTCTCACTCACCCCACTAAGGCTCATAAACCGCCCGTTTCCTTGCACTTCACCGCACTGCACCGCACTGCACCCCTTTGCATCTGACTTTACCATGCTCCCTTTGACCTGCTTTGCCAAGTCCTGGAATTGGACACGCTTGGATTCCAGTTTCTGCGAGCGGCAATCTTTGTGCACCACATGTTCCCGGCCAGAGTGCCTGTACGGCCAAACTCAGAGGGCAGCTCTCTCTCTCTCTCTCTCTCTCTCTTTTGGCATGGCCTGCTGTTGCGCCCAGGGAGAAGCCGCGCACAGCAGTTCCGTCCGGATACTTCATCAGTACCAAGGTGTTGAAGCTGAACCTAAGATCAAGCGCTTGGAAAGGCAGGCTCCGGATTGTCTTGGCGCCTCTTGCCTGTTGGCGCATCTTGACGCATCTTGCCGCATCTTGGCCCCAGACCAGGCGACGAAGCACAAGGCATAGACCATGGTGCGGGACTGCAGCAGCACGTGCTTGACGTACTCCGCGCTCCAAGTCACCTCATTGATCTGCCGGAAGAACACCGAGACAGTGGCGGTGAAGAAGATGATCACCGCGCTGGCGAGCCGGCGCACGGTGAGCGTCTCCCCCAGGGAGCATGGCGCGATCAGCGTGTTCCACACAATGTCCATCCCGGTCACTGGGGCGATGACCGAGGCCGGGGCCAGTGCGTAGCCCGCGATGTCGCACGCAGGATTCAAGGCGATTTGAAGGGCAAGACCTCAAAATGTTTAAAACATGTCTCTAAATTTATTCGATGACATTCGACATCACACTCCGCACTTTCCGAGGCCGGGACCGGCAATCAGCAAAAAATTGCCCTCCCTCTGTTTGCGGCGTTCTTTGGCCAGCCGCGAGCACCGCACCATCTGCTTCCCGATGGTGCCAGCCAGCGTCCCTAGGACGGCGAGACAGACCTAGGAGCAATGGAAAAAACAATGGCCATCCGGATTCTGTTTGGCAAGAGCTCTGTCAGCCAGGCGACCCCAGCAAACCAGTGGCTTTCATTGCCTTCCTCCAATACGATCTCGCCGCTTGCAGACACATTGCGATCTGTCATCGCAGGTCATTGCTCATGAGGCATAGGCGAATAGCGCAAGCCCGAGCCCAAGCTTCTGCCCAACACTGAAGTCCATGCGGGCCAGAGCAATGTATGCAACGCAAACATGCACAAAGAGGCAGCGGAGTCATCTGGAGGTAAGATGCACAAATGACAAAAGCCTGACCAACGCAATGCGGGTACCTGCGCATTTGCCACCATTTGCCTACTTGCCCCGTGAGTTCCCCCAAGCAATGCGAAGCATTGCACCCCAAGCTTCAGTCCAAGCGCTGACGCTTTGCGTCTCCCCCTTCAAAGGTGGGCTGGAACTGCACCTTGCGGCAAGCCTCCCAGAAGCGCATGCGCTCGTACCACTGCCGCTCCACTTCTTTGTCCGCCTCAGACTTGAGACCCGGGTTCGCGTGGACGTTGTCCCCCAGCAGCTGCGCCAGGACGTCCTTCAGCTTCACCTCCGCGTCGAAATCGGCGCCGCTGGCCGCGGCGGCCTCCTCCAGCTGGCTCCACTCCGCCTGGGAAGGGAGGCTCTCGGACTCGAGGCGCCTGAGATCCACCGGCTTGCCGAAGGCCCAGGCCGTCAGAACATGGCTCCGCACAGTGCTGGGCTGAATTGCCGCCCCAGACACTGACATGGCAATGCTGTGCACTGACTCACCCTGTAAGAACCTATCGTAAGAGAGCTCCCAGACCGGCTTCGCGCCCTTCTTGCCAGGCTTGTACACAGCTGCCGGCCACTTCCGGGGCGGGACGACTTGGCCTGCTGGCAGCTGCATTTGCACTTGCCTCTGCATCACTCGCCTCGACGGCGTCGGGATGCCTTCCACCTGGCTTGTGCTCCCCTTGCCTTCCGCTCCTTCCGCTCCTTCCGCTCCTTCCGTGCCTTCCGCTCCTTCCGCGCCCTTCATGTCCTCCTTGGCCTTGGAGATCAGCGACGCCAACTCCTCCACACCGGTGATTCGCACGCCGACACTCTTGATGGCCTCGACCGTTGTGGGCTGCACGTACGTGAGGGCCACACAGGTGTACTCAGACAGCACCGCAGCTGGCGCCAGGCGCAAGCGCTGCGCGGCCTCTTCTCGCCAGCGCAGGATCTGCTGCCGCAGCGCTTCGTGCTTCTCCACTTTTCCCAAGTCGCCGCTGGCTTTCCAGTGCTGCAGTTTGCGGACGTACCAGAGGACGGGACTGTCCTCCAGGTGGGGGGGCAGACTGCTGGCATCCAGCCCAAAGCTGGCCACCTCCTTGGCCATGGCGCTGCGCCGCCTTTCCTGCTCCGCCTCCTGATGGCGGATGGCGGGGGAGACGGGCAGAACGACGGAAGTGTTCAGCGCGGCTCGGCCCTTCTCCGTCAAAACGTAGACCTCGAAGCTGGAGCAAAACTCCCGGGTCGTCTTCACCGTCCGGCGCTGCAGGTACTCTGCCTCGCAGAGCGACACAATCAGCTCCCGGACCACCGGCTCCGACTTCATCAGCGGGGGCAAGTCCTTGCGCAGTGACTGGATCGACTGCAGCGACTGCATCGACAAGGAGTTGCCCTTCGGCTTGCCTGCGATGATCTGCAGCAGGCTGGTCAAGGCCTCAACGCGACTTGTCACAACCAATTTGTGTCTCCCCCCGATCCCGTTGTCCCTGTCCAATCTGTTTGCTTCCCATGCTTCCCTTTTCGGCCCTCCTGCGGGAAGCGCACAGCGGCCACGGCCTGCAAGATGGGGGCCACCGCAGCACGGAAGTCCCGGGTGGCACCACCGGCCTCGCAGGCGTCGCAGCGGCCGCAACGGAAGTCGGGTGCGACCTGGAGAAGCTCGGACTCCAACATGGAAACAGCCCGCTCAGTTGACTTAGGAAAAACCCGGGTTTTGAATTGGAAATGAATGATCAACGGAAACCAGAAAGCCCGAAAGAAGCCAGGAATTGATTGCCCGCCTCGCCAAAGTAGTCCAGGAGCCAGCGGCGGCGGCAGGTGCTGGCGCCGGCAAAGCGGCGCAAGGCTTCCGTGGAGGCCGCCACGTGCTTCTTGTTCTCCTCGCTGAGATTCTTCATGTAGAAGTCCGAGGAGTAGCTGCGGAATTCGCTGTCGGAGCAAATGAGCTCGCACATCGCATCCAGTCCATCGCGCCCGGCGCGGCCGATCTGCTGAAAGTAGTCCTCCACGGTCTTCGGCGGCCCGTAGTGAATGATGCGCCTCACGTCAGGCTTGTCGATGCCCATGCCGAAGGCAACAGTCGCCACGATCACCTGTGCCTGGCCGTTGAGGAAGGTCACATGTGCCTCTTCCCGCTCCCCCATAGACAGACCACCATGGTAGCAAGCCACCCGACGGCCAGCAAGCTTTTCCGTGAGAAAGCTGGCCACGCTCTCTGTCTCACTCTGGGTCATAGTGTACCTGGCGCAAACTCCAACCCCCAACTCTCCCCCATGTTCTGAGCCATTTTCTGAAACTGTCGAGCAAAGACTTGCAGCAAAGAGCAGCAGAGAGAAACTCGGCGAGGCGGCACGATGGTGGAGCCGGCCAGCGCCAGCTCCGCCACGCGCGCGAGGTCCTGCGCCCTGGAGGTCTTGCGGGCCACGCGGAGCTGCAAGTTGGGCCGGTCGAAGGAGCTGCGCGCCAGCAGCGGGGAGAGGAGGCCCAGGCTCTGCTGGATGTCCTCCTGCACCCGGGCGGAGGCAGTGGCCGTGAGCGCCATCACCGGCACTTGCAGATCCAGCCCGTCCCGCAGCCCTTGGAGCCCGCGGTAGGCCGGCCGGAAGTCGTGTCCCCACTCGGAGATGCAGTGGGCCTCATCAATCGCCACCAGCAGCAACGGCGTGGCGGCAGCTTTCAGCTTCGACAGGAAGCCCCCGGTCAGCTTCTCCGGAGTCAGATACACCAGGCTGAACTGCCCCGCCAGAGCGGCGGCCTCTGTGCCCGGGTTCACCTGGGCAGAGCCCAGGAAGCAGGCGCGGGGCCGGCCCTGAGCCCCCACGGTCCTTGGTGAACACAGGCCTCTCTCTTCCTCTCTTCCTCTTGCCTCTCTGTGGATTGCTATGCGATTGCGTGTCTCATGCGGATGACACCGCAGAAACGCGGAAACGGCAATGCTTAGCCATTTTCAGGGCCCAAAGAGAGAAAGGTAAAGAAAAGGAGAGGGACATGTCAAACTACATGCTTCACTTCCTGCATTTGTGTTGCATGTGACTGCAGGCCTTGAGCTCACTACATCGCATGTGTAAAAGGTGGATTGCTGCAGACTACAATCGGTTGACTGTTTGTTTGAACAATACAGCACTTGCACTTGTATAAGCAAAGTAACCACCGATTTTAACGTGGTAGCGGAGCTGAGATCCTAAACATAGGGGAGCTCCAGTAAGCAGTAAGTACTACAACCACAGCAACAGCAGTCACATGCCAAACTACTACGACATGTCAGGAGAAGCAGCATCAGCCTCAGCACAACAAACTACAGGAGCAGAGAACGGGCCAACAGCAGACACAGTAGGAGCCACAACTACGGGAGCAGGAACAGAACAAGACAACGACGTTCAGAGACTACATAGATACAAACTGCCACCACCCTTCTTCACTGGTGACTACTCCCAGTATGAAGAATGGCTGTTCAAGCTACAAGCATACCTCGGCCTCATAGACCGAGACTTCGACCTGGTGCTACAACTAGCACAAGTGGCTACACGACAGATTGAGGACACAGACATAAAAGCCCACATACGCGACCCTACACAAGCAACAAAAGCAGTAGACCTCTCACGAGATCTACACTACATCCTCATCAACATCTGTCAGGGAGCAGCAGCTACAGTAGTAAGGCAAAACCGCTACAACGCAAACGGATGTGAAACACTACGACTACTACACAACAGGTTCAGCCTACCAGTAGGAACAAGGAGCGTTGGTTACCTTACCAAACTACTGGAACCTACATTCAACGAAGCGCAGTTTGAAGAACAATTTCTACAATGGGAATACGACATCAACCGCTACGAGAAAGACAATGGAACAGCACTACCAGATGGAATCAAAATAGCAATACTACTCAACAAAACCAAAGGAGCACTGCAGCAACATCTCCAACTGCGAGCTGGACAGATCACAAACTACATCGAGATCAGAGCACTCATCTTGGACTACTACAAGACGATTTCAGCCTTCACCAGATCTACTTCAGCAGTAGGAACAAACTACAATGGAGGAGCTGCACCAATGGATGTTGACAACATATGGAGGAAAGGAAGAAACTACAAAGGCAAGGGAAAAGGAAAAGGCAGCTACAAAGGAAGCAAGAGCAAAGGCAAGTACAGGAGTAAAGGGCACTACAAAGGATTCGACAAAGGCAGCAAAGGAAACTACAACAAAGGAGGATTCAACAAGAGCAAAGGAAAAGGCTACTCAGGATCCAAAGGATATGGATCAAGCAAAGGCTACAAAGGCCAAGGAAACTACAGCAAATCAAAAGGAAAAGGAAGCAACAACCACACAGGAGAAGAACTACATCCACTAGAACAAGAACAAGCAGCTCATGACAACCATGAAGACCTACCTCAGGATGTAAACGACACTTGGGACTGGTACTACGAAGGAGAAGAAGGACAACACGAAGTGAACTACATGGAGGAGAACTGGAACGACTACGACTATGACAACAGCTGGGATTGGAATGACAGCAGCTATGAGGACACAGCAAACTACATTGGAGGCATCAACGAGTCACACCTTACCATTGGACACATCAGACAAGCAAACTCACGACTACACAAGCACAAATCCAAATCACTACTTGGTAAGAGAACAACAGAACGACCACAGCAAGAGCTTTCAACAATTCCTACAAGAAGACAACACACAGCCACACTTTGGCATAGCAGCAGCAAGCCAACAACAAAGGAACAAGAAGATTGAGGACACTATCACACACTACATCATGTACTCCAACTTCAAGTCATACCACCGCCTGTTGATCGACTCAGGAGCATCTACACATGTTTGCCCGAAGGAAAACGCATCAGACCTACCGCTACGACCTTGTGGAGAATCGGTTCCACAACTCTACACGGTTACAAACAAAAAGATTCCTGTCTACGGCATCAAGTACGTTCCCTACAAGCAGGACAACTTCAGGATCATGATACCCTACTACGTTTGTGATGTGAAGTATCCAATCCTCAGTGCATCAAGACTACTTGATAGAGGATATGGACTTGACTTCACTCCACGACACTGCACCATCACACATGGACAACTACAAGCACACCTCATAAGACACTCAGGACTTTTCTACCTACGAGCAGAGAAGATCGACATCCCTACAGGATTCGACATCTACCCAATGACTACAGACAAAGGAAAATCCATTGCCGTGATTCAACCTACAGAGAAAACAGTACAACAACAAGAACAAATTGCACGACTCACTCACACAGACCAAGGACTACGACAGATCCTTGGTGGAAACACTGACTACTGGAAACTTGATGGTGACTACGCCATCAGAGTACACAAACGACCACGCAAAGCATTATTCACACCACACAACAGCGGTTGCCCAATACCTGAAGGAGAACTAGATGATTGGCGACTAACCATCATCAACAGACAAGGGCAAGAGCAAGAACAACTACAAGAGAACCCAACACAACTTTCCAAGCAAGAACTACAACGAAGACTAGAAGGTGACAACTGGACTGGAGAAACCAGATTCAGAAGAAAGATAACACCTACACGCAGAGCAACATCAAAGACCACACCAACAAGGCAGAGCTCACAACCACAACGGCTAATGGACACACCACCAACCAGATCAAAGATCCAACTACGAGCACCACAAAAGATATGGAGACCTAAAGCAGCACCTTCTACAGATCTTGACACCACACAACCAAAGGAGACAATCCACAGACCACTCACAGCACAGGAGGACAACCAAGACTACTGGGAAAGACAAGGTGAATACTGGATAAGACACCACACAACACTTAGAACAACTCTATTCACTCCAACAGATGGACCAGGACATCCACCAATCAGCACACTTGAACCTCACAGAACTACAATCCCTCACAACAACTTTGGAGAAGTTTCACAACGCAAAGATGACTGGACAGTCATGGGAAATGCAGCACTACCATTTCAATGGAAAGGAACAACAAGGTTCACCGTGAAGAAAGACTACGAGTACATCCAGGAGAACTACGATGAGGAACAACAACACGAGCATCATGAAGCACACAGAGCAAGAGGGCTACGACAACCGCAGCAGCCCACTCCACAACAAATAGCAGAACACAACTTGACACACTTACCATACAGAAATTGGTGTCCAATTTGCGTTCAAGGCAAAGGACGCCAGGACAACTACAAGAAACAACAATCACGACAACCCATCATCCAAGTGGATTTTGCCTACATCAAATCACAACAAGATCCGAAGACCATACCAGTCTTAACAGCAGTTGATGTTACTACACAACTGTGCATGGCGGTATTGGTTCCGGACAAACCATCAATGATGGACTACATGATCAACAACCTACAAGCATTCATCTTTGAATGCGGAAGAACACAAGGCATACTACAAAGCGACAACGAAGACACACTCAATGCACTACTAAAAGCAACAGCATCTAAAGTCGGCTCAATGACTGTACGACATTCACCATCCTACAGCAGCAACAGTCAAGGAAGCGTTGAGCGACTACATAGAACACTTCTCGGACAAATCCGCGTCGTCAAAGCTCAGGTTCATGACGATGTCCACAAAGCGCTGTCTACTACCTTGGATAGTACGACATGCAGCATGGACGGTAAATCGCTACGTCATTCACTCACACGGCTACACAAGCTTTGAACGCCGCTGGGGAAGAAACTACGAGCGAGCAATCTGCGAATTTGGTGAGACACTACTTTACCTTCCACCACAACACAAGAAACTTCCAAAAGAAGACCTACGGATGCAGAAATGCATCTGGCTCGGAAAAGTTTCCGAAACCGGAGAAAACTACGTCGCAAGGCGTACAAAAGGTACGAACAGTACGGAGACTACAACCGGACTTCAAATACGACCTCGCACTGTTGAACAAAGTTTCCGGCACACCATGGGCACCACGACGGAACACCTACAACCCATCGTTCGCAACACTGTTGGATACGCAACTCCAACCGTCAGAGAAAAGAAAGTCCAAGCAAGGTTTCGGACAACAAACGAACGCAACGGACGACATCGTTGCGAAACCCGCAACAAAACAACAACGCACTACACCACCTCCACGACTTCCGTCCACATCGACGTCAAGTTCACGACCACTACCGGATAGTCCTATGGCTACTTCACCAACCGGACGACAACATCCACCACTACCAGCACCACCTCGACAAACACTACGACGTTTAACTCCGGAAGAAGTAATGCAACCAACTAAAGCACAGAAGACCTCAAAGGACACTACAATCAGATCAACGGAGCAAGCAACCAAAGAACCACCACCACTACGACAGAAAATCAACGCAGTGACACTTCCCAACGGCAAATTCATCACCCCCTACACAAACGACGACACCTCAGAAGACCAACCCATAATCTTCGACAACAAAGGTTACGACGAAACACAACTACTGGAAGGAATGAAACACGAGTCAAACCAAATGAAGCTACATGACGTCTACGACGAAGTAGATGCGTCTCCGTCGACGACAACGTCATCAGAGAAGCGATACCTACAAGATGGGTACACAGAAAGAAAGGACCAGGAGTACGAAGCCGAATCGTCGCAAAAGGCTACACAGAGAAGATCGAGGACGAAGACTCCGTCTACGCCTCTACACCAATGTTCACGACACTCCGGACACTTCTCGCACTACAAATGTCACGACCAAACTGGATCGCGCGACTAGGCGACGTCTCTACAGCATTTCTACACGCACCCATCGCAAAAGACCACGACGGTAAACAACGTGACGTCTACCTTTGGCCACCTAAAGAACTTTGTCCACAACAGGACAAAATCTGGCGACTAAAGAAAGCCATGTATGGACTACGCAGTTCACCAAAAGCATGGCAGGACTACCTGGCTGAAGTGTTACAAAAGCTCAGCTTTGTAAGACTAAAGTCAGAACCTAACGTCTACACCAATGCGACTCGCGACTGCTACATCATGGTCTACGTGGATGACCTCTTGGTACTTGGTGACAAGACTACTGTCGACTCCACCTTCGAGGCCATCCAGAAGCAGGTCCTACTCAAGCACATCGGCTACCTCGAACCTGGCAAACCACAACAATTTCTTGGAAGAAACATCGACCACTTTGGCAACTACTGCAATCTTGGACTAAAGGACTCCTACATCGACAACATGATCGAGGAGTCTGGAATGAACAACTGCAACTCAGTGAACACTCCAGGAATTGCACACTACAAACCAACAATAGAAGATGAAGCACTACTTGACCACGAACAACACAAAAGGTACAGAAGGATTGTTGGCTAACTGCAATGGTTAGCATACACACGACCAGACATTGCATACTCCACAAAAGAACTAGCCCGAGACCTCACAGCACCTACAGAACTTTCACAAAAGAGAGTCAAACATCTACTACGCTACTTGCACGGCACCAAGCACTACAAACTCACCATAGAACCAACAACAACACTCAGAGCAAACACCAACAACATTCTGGATCTCGACGTTCATGTCGATGCCGACTGGGCAGGATGCCCTACTACCAGGAAATCAACTTCAGGTTTCAACATCATCTTTTTAGGAACAACAGTTGCATTTGGCAGCAGAACACAAGCTACTATAGCACTCAGCTCAGCAGAGTCTGAACTCTACGCCATTTGCACAGGAGTTAATGAGGGACTACACCTCGGAAACTTCCTACTTGAAACCAACATTTGCAGCAAACTAAACCTACGCATCCACACAGACTCCACAGCAGGCAAGAGCATTGCTACACGACAAGGCACTAGCAAACGAACAAAACACATCGACCTTAAATTTCTCTACACACAAGACCTCATGAAGCATGACATCATCAGAATCCTTAAGATCAACACACTCCACAACAGCGCAGATTTGTTTACCAAATACATCAGCAAAGAAACACTACACAGGCTCATCCAGAGCATTGGAATACGCATTTAGCACTACGAAGGACCAGCGCAGCAGTTTCACAGCAACAACAACGACTTTGGACATTTCATGTATGTAAGTAGCTACATGTAACACGACACTTTTGATATGTGAGTAACAGTAACTACATGTATTTGCACTTGCACTTTTGGCGGCTGAGTCAACACTACAGTTGTTTGTTTTACATGTCTGCATGCGCCGCCTGCCTGATAGCAACTACTCAGGCTCATTTTGTTTTGCCCCGTTTCACTACATTCGCGCTCCACTGCAGCCATGGCCGCTCCATCTACTGCAGATGCTACAATGGGAGATGCGACTACACCCGGAGGTGGCTGTCACTACGGACTCCAGTGACCATGGAACTCCACCACCTCAAACCTACAACGACTTCAACCATCCTACACCTGGCAACACAGTCTACTACAACCCGACCACAGTGATGGACCAACTACACATCACTGAGCACCAGACAACCACTACACCACCACTGCCCGACAACACACCCTACACACAGTTTTTCACTGCACTCACACTCGAAGAGCATCAACTACTTTCACATCAACAAGCAACTCCACTTGCACAACTGGACTACACACAACCCATCTACTGCATCCCTGGAGACCTTCGGATGCCCCACTACAACTCCACCCTGCTCAGCGTTTCACTACCTGAAGCAGCCAACGTGCACTACTACCATACGACTTCCCTTCACACTACAACCGGCGACAACAACAACTACATCATCATCCAACTGCAGATTGAACAACAACTACTCCTGAGGTACCTCACTTCAGGACAATGTATCCACTTCAGCAGAGACTACATTTCCTACATGATGTCGGTACAACAGAACTACTACCTCCCAACTACAACACTGCCACAGACCATCTGCAAGGTGAACTACAACATGACCATCTTCACCGACAACTACAGCCTCAGGAACAACTATCTTTGGAACTACCACATGCCACTACTACTACCTGAACTACTCCACTACCTCTACAACAGAGACCAACTCCACGACTACCAACACAAGGCAATCACTACAATCCTCTGCAAGAGTATCCAGTACTACGGATTTACACGACTCACCATGACAAACCCCACACAACACCACAAGGCACCACCACACCGCTACCTCAGGGACTACAACCAACACATGTCATGTCCCGAGATCGACGATGAGCGACTACGAGGAGCACCAAACTACATAACAACCTTTTTCACCACGAACTACTTTGCGACCTTGGACAGTCGACTACAGAAGGTCCAAGACTACCGCACCCAGAACTGGGGACTACATCTTTGAGCACATGCTCTACTACAACAACAAGTGCCTGCCTCACTACTTCCGTCCAGCGCACTACATTGAGCTGGAACCTGAACAGCGAGAACTACTGAGTGCAGGTTACTACTTTTGTCACTACAGTAGAATTGATGAACAACAATGGTTTTCATCACTACTGCCAATCCATGTTTTTTGCACTTCAGTTGAAAAGGTACTACAAAGACCTTTTAACTGAGGCCGTGTCAAACTACATGCTTCACTTCCTGCATTTGTGTTGCATGTGACTGCAGGCCTTGAGCTCACTACATCGCATGTGTAAAAGGTGGATTGCTGCAGACTACAATCGGTTGACTGTTTGTTTGAACAATACAGCACTTGCACTTGCAGTAAAGTACCAACGTATTTTAACGAGAGAGAGAGAGAGAGGCTCAAGAGAAGCCTAAGGCCCCGTCGCATTGAAGCGGTGGACCTGGTCTTGCATCAAGGAAATCAGAGGCGAGACCACTAGAACCGTCTTGCCGCTTTGTACGGCCGGCAGCTGGTAGCACAAGGATTTCCCTGCGCCAGTCGTCCAAAACACCGCCACATCCCGCCCTTCTAAAGCCGCCAGAATCACCTCCCGCTGGCCGCCGCGGAAGGTCTCATGGCCGAAGTAGTCCTTCAGAACCACAAACTCCAAGCCGTCGCCCTTCGGCTCCTTCGGCTCCTTCGGCTCCTTCGGCTCCTTCGGCTCCTTCGGCTCCTTCGGCTCCATGGGCTCCATGGCTGGAACTTCGCACTTGAGCCATGGAGGTCAAGTACACAGAACGTGCATTGCATCAAATGCATCAAACAAGTACGGCTCTCTGATCTGACAGCTTGGGAGTCCACTCAGCACTCATCTCATGCGCCCAAACAAACACTCAGACTCAGGCACTCACACGCGCACACCCTCCACACGCACGGGTGCCGGGTAGACATGACGGCGGAACAAGCCAAAAATATGGCATGACGCCAGCAATTGGCAAGTCATGCTCATGCACCTCATTTCGAAGGCTACAAATCAGTTGTTTGTATGTTGACTGCAAGCGAGAGCCTTACCCGAAACCGGAGACATTGCAAAACGGGTGCTTCACACGAGCACCCTGTCCCTTTCTTAAGGCTTGGATTGGTTTCAAGTCTCGAGTCTCAAGCATCAAATGCAAGAGTCCAAACGTGTCAGCGCATTCGGCGCCATGGGGTGCTGAGTCCACTTGCCGATTCGGCTAAGGAACTCGAACTTCTTGCACATGGAAACCAACATTCCAATGTAAACGAATGCTGAACTGAAAGATGCTGAAAGTGCTGAAATGTGCCGCATCGGTCCACGCATCCATCTGGAAGTAGGGTCCGTCCAGTCTTCTGGGTTTCACGTGCCACATGCAGGCGCTTCGAGAGGAGCACCGAGAGTTCGGACGGGAGTTTGCTCCAAAGAAAAGAATCTTTCTCAATCCGAGTCGGTGTCGTGCAGTCCTAGCTCCAGGAGCCCCCGGATCCGCTGCGTCTCTTCTTGGCGCGCCCAGAAGTCCTGGAGCCGCTGGAAGCTGCGCTCCCTCGGCAGAACGTGCACTGCGCCCGTGGCCTCGTTGCGCATCGAATCGAAGTCGAAGGACTTAGCGTCCGAAGTCGGCCGGAAACGCGGCAGCTCACGGAGCACCGCGCCATCCACGAGGAGCCGACTGCGGCGGAAGCGCCGCAGACTGGAGGCGTACGAAGCGGACGACAGAAAGTCGTGCAGCAACTCGAGGACTTCTGCACTGCCGGGGACCTCCACAAGCAAAGGGGGGCGTATATAGCCCACGGCGTCGAGCAGTCCGGCCAGGTATGGCCAGGATATGGCTGGCCGCATCCAATGCATCCAACGTGTCGCGTGCATCCCCTGCATCCCGTGTGCGCCCTGTGGCCAGTAGGCCACCGAGAAGAGCTGCCCTCGCTTCGCCTGCGCCGCAGCCAGCAGTGCCACGGCAGCTCGCTGCGCCTGGGACATGCGACCCGTGCATGCGACCCGTGCATGCGACTCAGCATGCGACTCAGATGTCCGTTCCATGCCGTGCCTCTGGGCCGGAGATGCTCCACTTCAGCGCTGCGGTGCCTTTGGGGCCCTCGGTGCTTCTCAGGCAGCCGCCATAAAGGCGCAGGAACAGGTCGAGCACCGCAGTATCATGTCCACCTCGAGTTGAAATGTGGGCGCGCTCCACCTGTCTGTCTCGCGCTGTGATCTCAAGGGCGCAGCCCTTTGCGCTGGAGTGCACAGCCCCCAGACCATCGAAGAATCCGGCCAAGTACAAGCGCGAAGTGAGCGCATTGCGCATTGTTGGCATGCGTGCCTCGCTTGAAGCTAAAAAAGCTGAGGCATGAGGTGCCAAGGTGGTACTGAGATGTGACCCGACGCGGTCCGACAAGCACGCTGGCTTTCTCAACCTGACCGGTGGGCCGGCATCATCATTTTCCTTACTCGCAAATGAAGATTTGACAGCTCGTGTTCGAGGTGGGTGCGGGCTGAAGGGCCTGAAGAGCTTGTTGAAAATGGAGCTATACCTATGGTTCACAAGCAAAGCAATGCACAAGGATGGAAGGATGGAGGCAGGGAGATGGAGATCGGCACCCCGGAAAACCAAGAACTTCAACGTTCAACAAGTCCCACACTGCGCCCACGCGCAAAGGCCCCAACCGAGGGCAAGCGAGCTCTGTGAGCCACAGCTCCGCATTGCACCCTTCCCAGCTGTGGATGCACTCCTCAGGCGGAACTAAGCAAATCGGCAAGCAATTTGCAGGGAACTGAAGGGACGAAGCGGGACGAAGCGGGACGAAGCGGGACGAAGTTGAGGTGCACAAGCTGGGGCTATGTAGACAAATGGCTCATCGACACAAGTGCGAGGCTCAAGCAATGGGTCCTTGGTAATGATAGCGGGGTATCGTCTGTGAAGGCTGTGCAGGATGAAGGTTTGGGCCTCGCCATCCCAGGATGCCATCCCATGCCTTGCAGCCTTGCAAGCTCCCACGGCCCGTGCCTCGTCTCGCGGGCAATCACATTCCTCGCCCGTCGCTCCCGCCGCTCCCGCCGCTCCCGCCGCTCCCGCCGCTCCCGCTCCCGTCGCGCCAGACCCGCCCTCTCCGCGCCTTGGGCTCTCGCAGCTCCTCCAGTGTCGCAGTGTCCGGAGCTCACATCCAACATAAGACAAGGCAGAGATGGCAGAGATGGCAGAGATGGCAGAGAGAAGATTTAAGGCGCAAGGACATTGTGAGGGACCTTTTCTCCAGAGCAAACATCGTCCAAAGCTAAGGGCTATCGCATGAAGGAGAAGGAACAATTCAACAAACTTTGTTGGAAGGTAGCGGTAATATCAAGCATATCGCACCATCTCTTGTAAGTCGGGTTCTGGAAATGTGAAAACAAGTTTCCAATGCAAGAATCTGCGACAGGCGGCCTTCATGTGGATGCTTACTTGGATGACTCAGCACAACGGAAGGATGCACGACACGCGTCCTCGGGCTGGCCGACGCAGACTGGACATCCCACAGAGTTTGGATTCTCGTGGAACCTTAGCGCTTCCGATGCTCCGGCCCCGGCCCTCGCAACTTGACTCAGGGCATGTCCACCTGTTGACGCAGTGCAGGTGGTAGCCGTGGCCGCAAATGAACTTCACTTTCTTTTGAGATTGTGTGGTCCTCGAGAACATCCGAAAGAGCAAAGCTGCCACACTGTCCGGGGCTGGCGCGAGGTGCATTCCACACAGCATGGGCACCTCGGTCCGGCCCGGTTTCCGGCTGGCCACAGGGCGAGCTTCAAATGATTTCAAGCTGGTCACAGGGCCAGATCCTCCTTGCCCTTCATCAGTGCCTCTTGGACCCGCTGCACCTGGCAGGCCACTCCGCTTCACTCCGAGCACTATGCGACTCGCGGAAGGGCTGCGCCTTTCGTCTGCAGGCGTAGTACGTGGCCTTGTGCTTCCAGCTGAGGGTTGTGTCGAGGAGGAAGCAGACCTTCACTTGCGTGAAAAACTTCGAACTTCCGGTTGGACAAGTCGGAAAGAACAAAAGGGAATGACCAAGGGAATGAAAAAAAGGGACTGCAGGCGCACCACCAATACCGCCAACACGAGGGTCAGCAGCCCTGCCATGCAGCACAGCATTGCCATAACCTGGCAAACCACGGCGCGAGCGAGGCGAGACGGCGACGGCACGAATCAAGACGGCAAGACCATGGCTCGGCCCTCCTCGAAGTGCCTTGCCTGACGGGGCCAGGCAAGGGGAAGGGGGCGGAAGGGGGCGGAACGTTGCCTGTGGAGCTGCGCGGAACTTGGATGCGGCCGCACTGGCCACGAGAAGCCACAGCCTCGACCTCGAGCCCAGCCCAAAACCCGCCAGCCCCCAGCCCGAAGCCAAGGCTCGAACATGGCGTCAAGACCTGGCCCAAAAGCCCCAAAAGCCCCGAAAGGCTTCGACACGGGTTCGGGGCAGTTCGGTGTCGCTTCTCGCTGTCGCTCGCTGTCGCTCGCCCGGACTCCCGACGGCTCGAAGTTGGGAGCGCTTCCGGGTGTTCAGCTCGCCTGTCTCTCGCCTCGTTGCTGCGGATGGCCCCACGGGGCTAGCCGATGCGGACGAGCCCAGAGTCACAGAAATCACAGCCTCACACCTTCGATGTCGGAACCTTTCTGCGGCATGGAAGGGTGCTGGGATGTGCTGGGACGATTCCCAAATCATCAAAACCACGTGTTGCTGGGGGACCGAAAAGTCAAACAGTAAGTCTGCAGCTCAACAAGATGACGTTAACCACCATGTCCAGCCATAGCTGACTCGGAAACGCCTCCAACATGCCAGTTGAATGACCAACATCTCGGCATGCATCCATTTTGCCTGATCCACTCGCACGCATAAACAAATGCTAGAAATTCAGCCCGGACAATGCCACAGGCGCCATGTCAAAGTCAAAGAAGGATCTCAAACAACCGGCAACGGTCTCACAGTCTGAGTCCTGCATCCAAAACGTTCTGCAGAGCTTTGGTGGACGCGTCAAGCAGTTCGTTCAGCTGCCCAAATGAGTGGCCGACAAAAACGCTGGGGATGCGCTCATTCACCAAAAGACTCTCTTTGGACTGCTCAATGAGGGGCTTCGGCACATCCAGAAAGTCCCCTTGAAGCCGGGAAATCGAAATCTCTGAGCCGCCATCCTCAGTGTGCGCAGCCCGCGAGGGTGACATCGCATAAAACTCGTGGGCACTCGGCACTGTGGAATGGGCATCAGAAACCAGAGGAATCTTGCTGGCTACATGCGACGTATCCTCATAGTGTAAGCCGCCGTCGCCTCTTGCTGATGCCAAGCTTGTCGGAGCTGACGAATCAGCCAGGCTGGCTGCAGACTCCAGGTGGTTGCTTGTGTCCGAGCTCGTCGGAGCTGACGAATCAGCCAGGCTTGCAGAATCCACTGCAGAATCCAGGTGGTTGCCTGTGTCCAAGCTCGTCGGAGCTGACGAATCAGCCAGGCTGGCTGCAGACTCCAGGTGGTTGCTTGTGTCCGAGCCCGTTGGAGCTGACGAATGAGCTAGGCTAGCTGCAGAATCCAGGTGGTTGCTTGTGTCCGAGCTCGTTGGAGCTGACGAATGAGCTAGGCGAGCTGCAGAATCCAGGTGGTTGCCTGTGTCCGAGCTCGTCGGAGCTGACGAATCAGCCAGGCTGGCTGCAGACTCCAGGTGGTTGCTTGTGTCCGAGCTCGTTGGAGCTGACGAATGAGCTAGGCGAGCTGCAGAATCCAGGTGGTTGCCTGTGTCCGAGCTCGTCGGAGCTGACGAATCAGCCAGGCTGGCTGCAGACTCCAGGTGGTTGCTTGTGTCCGAGCTCGTTGGAGCTGACGAATGAGCTAGGCGAGCTGCAGAATCCAGGTGGTTGCCTGTGTCCGAGCTCGTCGGAGCTGACGAATCAGCCAGGCTGGCTGCAGACTCCAGGTGGTTGCTTGTGTCCGAGCTCGTTGGAGCTGCCGAATGAGCTAGGCTAGCTGCAGAATCCACTGCAGAATCCAGGTGGTTGCCTGTGTCCAAGCTCGTCGGAGCTGAGTTTGTCGGAGCTGAGCGATCAGCCAAGCTAGCTGTAGAACCCAGCTTGTAGGCTTCATCCGAGACTGAAGTCTGAAGTGCGGGGGCCAATGGATGATGTTCCGTGCTTTGCATAACCCTTGGCTGAGCTTGCCAATCAGCTGACGCATTTAGATCGGCATGAAGCATGGGATCCCAATGCTCATTCCCAGCAAGCCATACCAAGAAGCTCGCTTTGCCTGCGCTGGCAAGTGCCAGCGGAATCGCCTCCATGGATCTGAAAAGTTGGGCCGCATGGCCACTGATTTTGCAGATCGCCTGTGTAGCATATGCGAACTGATCGAAGGCACGCAATTTCATCACTCGACCATCGCCCAACCCAGAAAAGAAAATGCAAACGCGCTACATGTTCAGACAAACTGGATTCGGCTGTCAACCTCTGGGCAGCCTCTTTTCCAAAAGTGAGCCACTTGCTCCGCAACAAAAGTTCTCCAGGAATATGGCAAAACGTCATTGCCAAGGAACGGGACTCCGCTCCTGACCTTTTCATCTCCTCTTTGAGGAGCGGAGAAGGAGAACACTGCAGGCCTCTCACCTGGGCTCCGTGTCCGCCGGGTCTTGCACCTGGATTGGATTGACGGATTCACACCAACGAATGCAACGAATGCAACGAATGCAACAAATGCGATGAATGCGATGAATGCCGAGTGACTGAGGGCCCGACAGCCATTCCGAAAGAACAGCCGCTGCCCAGCTTAACCACGCAGATTCACTCGTCATCCTCGTCGTCTGCAGGTTTCGCCACCTGCGGTGCCATCCCATGTTGGCCCTCGGAGCCCCGACTTCGCTCGTACCCGCCTTCGCCTTCTTCTTGGGCGGAGAGGCCTCCTCCTCGTCCGAATCAAAGGTCTGCTTCTTTCCTGCGAAACTTGCGGCGTCTCTCACGCGCGAAGTGCGCAAAACGCCAAAAAATGAAACGCACGCCTGTGGATTCCACCTCGCGGCAATTCGAACGGTGCAGAACGCACACGGAGAGGCCCCGAGAGGACGAGAGAGGCCGAGAGAGGCCGAGAGAGGCTGAGAGGCCTCTGAGGCCCTGGCCATGTTGCCGTGTTTGGCTGCCTTGCCTTCAGCGCTCATCCCCTTCTTCCCTACACGGAACGGAACGGAACCGAGCCGAGCTCCGAATCTGACGTGCCAGGCCCTTGCCTTTCCCCTTGCCTTTGTCTTTGCCCTTCTTTCCTTTGCCATCCTTTCCCTTTCCTTCCCAAACAGGACTTGGACAGACTCAACTTGGGTCTATCTGTGCCTTTGCCATCCTTCCCCTTGCCGCCTCAAGTGATGTCTGCCTTGAAGCCTTCAATATCCTACAATCCTTTTCTCACTCGAAAAAAGACAAACTTTCAAGATGTCCATTGAGGCAGAGGCCTTCGTTCGCCTTGTTCACGTAGATCCTCCGGCTCGAGTACTCCGTCTCGTTGAACTCCAGGGCCTTCTTCACAGCCTGGCGGGCAGCGCTAGCGCCGCTGAGCAGCCGCTGAGCTCTGGAGGGGCCTCTTCGTCCTTGTACTCGATAAAGGCAAAGCCCTTGAGATTTCCCTCCTCGACATTTCGACATCGGCACTCTCGTCCAGTGTGTTTCACTCAAGCTTCGGGCTACCGAAAGAGCTCCTCGTCTGTAGGCGCGCTGCATCGCACGATCTCACCGCACTCGGCAAAGTCCTCGCAGTCAAAGAGTCAAGCGCATGCTGATCCACTCAACCGCTCCTTCTCCACGGTCTCTCTCGAGAGGCTCCAAGACAAGCCTGAATCCGAATTCCCCTCTGCAAAGAGTCCAAACATCGGTCAAATGCAAAAAAAAGATGAATGTGCTCCGCCTTTGATCATCACTGTGAGCTCGTCATTCCTGTCCTCTTTGCCCTTCCCCTTGCCATCCTGGACAGAAAAGCCATGCTGCAGACTTCACTCCCAAGCCCCAGCCTTGCCCTTGCCTTTGCCTTTGTCCTTTCCCTTCCCTTCAGGGATTCAGGCAATATGAGACTCGTGAGAGTGAGCATCTATCCGATGGATCGCTAAGCCAGCGAAGCAGCGTTGCTTGCTTTAATCAACCAAGACACATGGTGTCGAGCCCAAAGTAAACTGATGGCTGGAAAGCAAACAGCACAAAAGCAAAGACAATGCAAGTACCAAAAAGTGAGCAAGAAAAGTGAGGTGCAAGACTCGACGACGCATATTCTGAAATGCGAGCAAAGGACCATTCCGAGGGAGCAAAGAGGGGAGCAGAAAAAGACGAGGGAAAGGGATAAGGAATATGGGCAGTGAGGAGTGCACCAGTCAGGAATGAACCGAACAAGAAAGTGACGCAATGCGACATTTGCTTTCCAGAGACTCTGCAGGCACAAAGCAAGAGGCTCGCCCGCCTTTGCCCTTGTCCGACTTGTCAGAGGCCAAGTTGACCTGGCCCGTGTTCAGGGCGCGTAAGCGCACCCGCGACCTGCGCGCCTTGAGGGTTCGGCCACCGTAGTCATCGCCATTGAATTTCAGGGCCGCATCGACCCCTCACTGAAACTCGGGAAACTCAGGCAACTCAGACAACTCGGGAAACTCTGAAACAGATCAAACTGTCCAACTCTTGTCACTGCGCTCAGCTTTTCAGCGAGGCCCATGCACCTGGCCTGCTTTGCTCGCGTATGTGATAAAGGCGATGCCTCTTGGCACGGAGGGTTTGACCGGAGGCCGAGGCTGAGTTCTATCCTTTTTCCCTGCCTTTTGGCCTGCCCTCGTCGTTCTTTGGCAGCACAAATCTGACGTGAGTCAGCTGTCTTGCTTGCGCATGCCTGCCTGTTCTGGCTGTTCTGGCGCCTGGAAATCTCGCCACACTCCTCGAAGTCCTTCTTGATCTGCTCCTCACCTGCGCTTTCTCATTGGCCCTCATGTCACAGACTCATGTCTTCTCGTAAGCCGAGCTCCAAGCTGGTGGAGAAAGGCAGGCCACCCACGAAGACGCAAAGATCCTCCTGCAAAGCTCGCTTTGGAGTCGTGTGGCAGATGCAGTTCCCGCTGTCCTCGCCCGTCTCCGTGCCTGAGATGGCAGCACTGAAACTCTCACCTGCCTTCCAGCCCGCCTTCTGTTTTAGCCTTCTTGGCCTGCAATCTGTCAAGTTTGTGGCTAGCCAAACGCCAAGCACCCTCCTTGGGGGCTTCTTCCTCCTCTTCCTCCTCTTCGACCTGCCCACGTCCATGGCTCACCCCACACAAGCGGATCTGCCGGCCTTCGCCTTGGCCTTTTTTGCTTTTGGAGCCTCGGCGCTTGAT